CTTTAAGCATATGTGATATTCATGCTTAACTTCATCAGCGTGCGATAAAAGCAAGACAAAATTTAGTGGAACAACATGTCATTGGTCACCATTCTCATAATACAAGGTTTGTACGGTCCTTAAGAGTCCGTAAAAGTCCTTAAATTCTTTGGAATTCGATTTTTGGTCTTTAAAAGTCCTTAATTTTGGCCAAAATCAGCAGAAGGTCCTTAATTTTAATCATCTGAAATTTCTGTCTGTTTTTATGACTGCCAGTTTGAGTGTGAATTAGCATTTTGGAGGAATATTTTTGGCGATTTACTGACACATATGGTTATCTTTTGAATGGGTTATAATTTGTTTCTATTTCTAATATAAATGATGGGATACTCGAGTTTCTAAGCAAGAAGTGAAACATAAGCATTTCGAAATTCATTTTTCTAATAAAGAAATCTTAAACAACTTTTAGCTTTTGGGGATGTGAATTCTTTTATTAAACGGTTCTAAATTTTTCGACTTGTCAACATTTTGGCGATTTTAAGATCAGTTTCTATAGAAAATTTTTAATTCCGAGATCTGAGAATTTTTCGACGATTTTTTTTAAAACATCACAACATTGATAAATTTCATTAAAATAATGGTAATATATTGAAATTATATTTAAAAAATAACATTAAAATAAAACATCTCTATTTTTCACTGTCATATTATAAAGTTTCATTTTGGCAACTTATTATTACAATATTATAAATCTGAAAAAAAAAAAAAAGGCATAATGCTATAAATCGTAATTTACGAAACAGCTCGTAACAAGAGCAAAATTAGCTATGTAATTAATTAAAAATGTCTTCTTTTTAATTTTTTCATAGTAAGCGTTTTTCCCGTCTCAGAATATTCAAAATTCTCAGAATATGCATCAGTTTTCTCTATAAAATTAATTTTACACTTTTTCCCTCCTTTTTTTTTTTTTTTCCAAAATATTTCTGCCTTTTTGCTGTTACAGAATTGGTAGGGATAATTTTTCTCTAGTATTTTAGACATTGCAGCTTGGAAAGTTTAGAAGGATTTGAAGGCAAGATTTATAGACCCATGATTCTAGAAGATTCGAGAAATATGTGACAAAATGAAAAATGTCTCCATGGTATCAACACGTAATAGATGTATTTTACAGAAAGTTTGCGATGAATTTCTTACCTTTTGGAGAACGTCTGGAAGAACAATGAAAATATAATATTTGAATGTTTTACTTCTGATACTAGAATCTTTTTCCTAACATGTTTATCTTCCCTTTATTTTCTCTATATCTCACTAGACACAAGTATGGAAAATATCAAAACTACTTCTGATCTTCTCACTTGGGCAGCCATTATAGAAAGAGATTTTTTTATTAATAAAGAAATCGAGAGCTTACAGTTTAAAAGATTCATCTAATATGTCTAAATGTATCGTACATAGAGCTGGTGCTATGTGCATTTTCCCACCTGATGCAATCTCTGTGTATCCTAAATTCTTCTGCCTAGTGCCTATCTAAATTCTGCTTCCAATGCCTGCTCTAAATTCTAAAAGTTTTGCCATTTCTAGATTTTGTTCTTCTGTGTGTCACTAAATTCTAAAAATTCTGCCGCACCAGCTCTGTAACCGGCCTTTACCATATATATTTCATATTTCTTCTGAATGTTCATATTACTAAAGAAATAAAATTAGCTGCTTTTTCTGTACATTCTAAATTAGTGTTTTTTAGAGTAACAGAAATCCTTAATTAAATACAAAAATTCTAAAATTAAAAGGAAACACGTTGAAGAAAGAAACCGAATACATAAAGAAAATTATTCTTCAAAGATATGTGCAGTTATTATTATGTAAATTACCCAATTGTTTATGATTTCAGCCTTTACTATAACTTCCCATTTCTGTTTCCTATGATAGAGTTACTGAGCCAGATTAAATTAAAATTAAATTGTATGATCTTTGACCACTAGGCCACGTTTTTAGTTTGAATTTGACTGTTCTTGTTTAACTATGTCACCGTGAACTGTAATTGACTTTGTTAGCATCAGAACATGCCTTAATGTTCCAAGTTCTTTGTCTGATATTGTAGTTACTTTCAGACATAGTGATAATTTGCTTCACGTCTATCGGGTGGGGGGAGGTTGGGACTATTTAACTTTTACCAGATCAAGTAAACCCTCATAGGTACATTGTGGAGAGGTTGACAGGTTAGGAGATAAAGTACACAGAAACTAGCAAGAACATTGGTTTGCATACTGAGACAAATTTCTAATTATTGTCAAAAAAGATCGATAATTAAAGAGGAGGAAATCAATATAAACTAGCCAAAATGTTTGGGAAGCCTTGTAGAGACATTAGGTATTTTTGAAAGCAGGAAAGATGAAAAATTAACAACGCCTTCACTGGGAATTGAACAGCGGACCTCTGGAATACCGGACCACTACACGAAGGCTCGCTAAGAAGGTGGGAGAAATACCTAATAGGCTTCAAATTAAAATGACGGATAAATATTTTGTTGAGTGTTGTTGTATGTGTATCCAAATATCATTTATCATAAATTACATGTATTTGAAACTGCGAAATTTCATTAGATTTTTATTTTAATAGGGCTTTTTTTTTAACAGACATTGTTAAAAAATAAAATTTAATAGTGGCCATGTAAATCCATAATGACTAAGGTTATTTAATTACCTAATTTAATTATTTATAACTAACTACTTACCCTTAAAAATTATCTCTACATATTAAAGCGAGTTATTGCCTTTCATTAATACTCACTGTGGTCACAAGATAAAACACAAAAATGTAAAAATTCAAGTAAAACTTATTCTTTGTATCTACTGAGACTTATATATAAAACAACTTATCGCGTCTGGTGCTTTAATGGCTTATTGGAACCTTAAAGTATATTAACTGGGTTACACCTGGAACTCTATGCAAAGCTATGACATTAACTGCATTAAGCAGAGCCTGACTAACTTTCAACACTTGCCAACTGTGCCTATATCAGGCCTTTCAAGTTTGTTCAAATCAGCAAGTCTCTCTATAGACAAGCAGCAGAGGGACAACATTCAGTCTTTTGTTACGAATCATGCTGATTATGATCTCACTTCTCATTTTAACCTATGCCGTTTGACATAAAATCTCCCTATTATTTGCTAAACCTCTAGACTGAACCAAGTACGTGACAAAATGAGACATAAAAAAAAAAAAAAAAAAAAGTCAGCATAAGCTAACTATTAGTAAAACGTAAATGTCACTTATCTTCTTTCAAATATGTCCAACTATTATAAGTGTAAAATATTTTAATGCTACTTGATAAACTAACTGCATAAAGTTTATTTTATTCTCAAACTTATTAATAATTATGTTAGTTAATTCATGTTTAGTGATAATGCATACTACTTAGGGATCTATTTTATTTTTAGGATGGTATTACAAAAGTGAAATTCAGGCATAGAATAATATTTTTAATTGAATATATTCAGTTCCCATTTGTGCATAGGTCCTTAATTTTTTTCATTAATGGTCCTTAAAAGTCCTTAAAAGTACTTAATTTCCGTGTGCGGAAATGTGTATGAACCCTGTTAAAAGTACTTAATTTCCGTGTGCAGAAATGTGTATGAACCCTGTAATACTTTGCCAATAATGTATAGCAGATGCTAGCTAAGTTTATGCTGCTTGCCACGGATTTGAAGGTTTTCATGTGTTGCAAACAAAAAGCAAAATTTTCCAATTAATAGAATTTATGAAAAAATGTGAAGAAGTAATATGTGATGGTGATATAAAAGAATTTTTTCATTGTGATAACAATGTCCGAATCATTAATCATCTATCAGATGGCAAAATCTGTAAATCCAGAATCTGTAATCTAAATATAGAAAATATTGCTACCGACAATGAAGAAAGTGTCAGAGAGGTAGCTGAGAACGAAAAAATTGTGATTGGCAATTTAGTGCTAAATCTCGACCCGGTAACTGCAGAATGTGAATAATAGAACTTAGTTACTGAACAAGAGAGTTTATGTCTATATATAGAATTAAAGAGTAAGCATCAGCTTATAAACAGAACAACTTCAAATCTTTTATGCCTTACGCTGAAAGAAATGTTTAATTCAGCATTTTTTTTTTTTTTTTTTTGGTAAATTTTGATTCCATTAAGGTCCTATAAATGCTTCATTATTTCATAAACCATTATTCCTGTTTTCAATTTTTATAACTTTTGCATGCCATTTTGCTAGATTTAAACTTGCATTTCGATATCTTACTTGATATAATATCTGGAAAATCTCGAATCCAGCATCACTGAAGCTTCCATGAGTTTGGATTGTGGGCTTTGTACTGTAATTTTCTTTCTTCTTGTTTGAGAACATCGCCTTTCTTTACAGTACATTGGCACAAATCCAATTTCATCAGTAGTCATAGCATAATAAGTAAATGATTATGATGAGTTTTGTATCATGTTCAGCATTCAACACTATATCTAGAAAAAAGATGGAGGATAAATGGTTTTAAAATTCATTTAAATTAAAACCTTTGCATATTATTTTGTTTACTGTTGATACAGATATTTAAAGATACTTCATTTTTTTAAGTGAATGAATATTTTTTAAGACCATATTTAAAATCAATGTTAAAGTATTTCCTCTGGATATTTGTTACTTTTTTCCACACCTAAGGAATGTCTCCCTTTGTTATCTAATCACAGTGCTTACCTTGCATTTACTGGACAATATGCTCATTTGAAACAAAAATAAATATTTCGATGCAAATATTATGTCTATGTGCCACATGTAAATTCTGAATCAACATTTTTAAAGCTGATTCAAATTTTAGTATTCTGGACAGCAATTTTGATTGAAAAATGCTGTCTTGTTGCCAAATTATTCTTTTGAAGTGTCACAAGTGTACAATAAAATCATTCTTAAAATGTGTGAAAAGGTCTTGGTAAATTTTTGAAACATTATATGCATTTTGCAGATTTTGTTTAAAATCTTATTTCTTTCTTTTTAGGGTCTGTGCAGCTGTGTGATTTTATTTGGCAGCATGAATGTAGAAGAAGGTGGATTATATATAAAGAAGAAGAATTGACTATACTAAATAAAGCTATTGGGAAAAAACAAAAGACTGTCAAGTTGCCAAGTAGTAATATTAAAAAAGAGATTATTGTTCATCTGGATAAAATGTATCAAAAAAATCAAGTTACATCATATGAACAGCGAATTCGATGTGGAGTTTATAATAATGGTTTCTATTCTTGGTCTTGGCAAGATGATGATGGTTACTGGTATTGCTATCCTGCATTTGTAGTATTATTACTAGAAGTTGCATATGAACAGAAAAAAGAAAAGCTGAGTATGTATCTTAATGGAGACTTGGAAATTGACTTAATAAACTTTGTCGAAACTAATGAGGAGACTGGAACCTCTCGACGTATCAACAGAGATTGTCTTGAAATTCCTCTAACCAGTCTTGAGGGAATGATGATAACAGCAAATTGTAAAAATCACGTGCGTAAAATCGCATGTGAAGTAAATTTAAGGTAAGTGATAAGAACACTTCTTTTTTTAACGAGGAAATATATACATGCATAATTTTTCACATTTGAACAAAGTTTATTAAGTATGTTAACGAATGCAAGAGTTTCCCAAAATAATGGTAGCACCTAAAAAAATAGAAAATTGTATGTTGAGTATGGTATAGAACATATCTGCCAACTCTCTCGGTTTTACAGGGAGACTCACGGTTTTTCGTCATATCTCGCAGTACATCACTGAATCTTCCAGTTTTTAATTTTTAACATTTGCTGAGGAAAATATTTTCCATGAATAATGGAGATTCTTTAAATTATTGAAACTTAAAGTAGGCCATTCCATTCCTCACCTCTAACAATTTTGAAAATACTTTTTTTATTAAATTTTATTTATCTGAATTGTATTCTGTGTTGCATTTTATTGAGCATGTTAAATTTCATTTGATTTAGTTGCCTTAATTTATTGCAGGTATTTGTAGACTTTTCTAAGATGATTAAAAAGTGTTTAATCAGTTAACATTTACATTTAATTTTGTTTACTTTAACATGTGGTATATTACTATGTTTATCCAAACAAATACTATGTACATTAATTATTAATTTTATTTTCATGGTTATTTAAAAGTTCTTTGGTGAATAAAAGCTTTCTTTCACTAAATGGGATTGTCTCAGTGTAAAAGGTATAAGAAAATTTAAAAAAAAAAAAAAAAAAATTAATAATAATTTAGCCAACAAACATAAATAGAATATCCAATAAGCTATTTTACATGAGAAATGAATTTGAAATAATTCATAACCTGTGCCATGGATTATAAATTAAAATCAATATAGAATTCTTTTAAAATGGTTTGAAAGCAATGCAATGTGAAAACTTTCAGGTTACCTTGCAAAAACATTCCAATTTTTAAGATTTCAAGGTTGGCAGCTATGGTATTGAAGTATCTTTGGCATCCAAAGCTCCAAATGACAAATTTCATTTGTAGTTTTATGCAATCTTGAGAGTATGTACAAAGTGATCATATAAAAAAGTGGTGACTCTTTTTGTGGTTTACTGTATATTTGATAGAAAACATTTTTTTTTTATTTTTTCAACAACACCTATATTTTTGCTGTATGAAAATAAAGCCTTGATTTTTAAAGAATTAATGCAATCAAAATGCACTTTAATTGAAGTTTTAAGCAAAATAGGTATACTTCCTTATTGATTTATTTCTTGATATTCTTTCTGTTGTTCAATGCTTTGAGAATACGGAGAAAAAGCAATTTGTGTTCATTTTGTAAGAAATGTATAAAATTAATGTTTGAGAGAATGTTTGAATGAAATTGCTAATTCATGACTGGATTTGTGTGGTAATGAAAGTTTATTTATCAGTTTTTGAAATTAAAGTTCATATGAAGTAACAATATTATTATCAAGAAATATGAAATATGTTAATTTTATTAATTAATGTATGTCTTCATTGCATGTAGTTTTGCATGAGCATTTGTCTTTAAAATTTTTAATAAACATGTTGAATGGCTAATATTCATTCATTATGTACTCTTTAATTTTTGTTTACATTTCATTAGTATTAGTTATAAGTGATTTGATGTGTAATGAAACATTTGTATACTTATATGAATTGCTTGGATAGAGGTGGATGTTTGCTTTTTTTAATTGTGATCATTTAAAAATGTTGTTGCGTTTCTCTACGGGGGTTCGTGGATTTGGAGTGATTGGCGACAACACTTAATGAAGAATGAAAACAATTTATTTATCCAGTATTACTCAGGATAAAGGAGGAACAGAGAAAATCTTCAAGGGAAAAGAAACAACCAGTTAGGTATTCTAATCCTGAGACTTACCAAGTATAATAATTTGTGCATTTCCGAATCAGATGATGGTGGTTCAGTGAGTTTACTAATTTTAACACTTTTACATTTTAAAAATATTTTAATTCACTATATACAGAGCATGTTTTTAGGCTGCCGCCTTCAACATGAACAAACTGTATTCTCTTTTTACTATGCGAGCAACAGCACCGTCTAGCCTTTTCTTTCAAATTACGCAACACTCCCCACCTGAACTCAGTGGAGAGTTCATCTTTCAATAATATATTCTAGAATATTCAATTAATATTTCGACAAACAATCCTAGACAAATGGTTATATATAACAAATATGCATACATAATTATAAGCACATAAATTTTACAAAACATTAAATGATACCTATCAGCGACGTCAGGAGAATCAAACCTAAAAATACAAAATACAAACATTAGTTAAGTTCCATATTATATAACAATTGTATAGGCCTTTTAAGATACCAGTAGGTGTTTTAATTATGCAAGATCTTATTTTACCATCTCTTCCTGGCATTAATTGCAAAATTTTACCTATTGTCCAGAGATTTCTGGGATGTTTATCATCATGAATCAAGACAACATTGTTGATTTTAAACTGAGATGCATTAGAGTGTGGAGGACAAATATTGACAGATCTCAGATTAAAAAGATACTCTGATCTCCAACGCTTCCAAAAATGATTTAAAATATCTTGATGGTATTTATATCGTTTAATAATTGAATTTCTTGATCCCATCAAATTATTTGATGTTATTTTATTAGCAGGCAGAGATAGTAATCGTCTACCAACCAGAAAATGAGAAGGTGTTAGTGGAGAAGGTTCACTGGGATCAGTAAACACGTAGGTAATTAGTCTACAATTAATCATTGCCTCGATTTCAATGAGCACTGTTTCAAGCTCTTTCACAGTAAGGGATGATCTAGACCAATAATTTTGCGTAAGCTGGATTTTATGGTTCGTACCATACGCTCTCCCAAAACCTCTCCCCACCATGGACCCCTTCTCAATAATAAATTTCCAATTTATGCCTCTAGCAGAAAATAATTCTTCTTACAGATTTGAGTCATTTCTCAAAGTTTTGAAAATATGCTTTAGTTCTTCGTCAGCTCTTTTATAAGTCTTGGCATTATCGGTAGTACACAGTCCTCGGCGAGCTAAAAATCTTCAGAAAGCTAGCAAAAACTTTCAGTGCTGAGATCAGTTACTATTTCTATATGTAAGGCACGAGTGACCGCACACGTTAACAACAGCATGTAAATTTTACCTTGCCTGTCTTTTGTAAAAAATGAACCGGCGAAGTTCAATCAGGTCACAGCAAATGGAGGCGACTCTTGGATTTTGTCTGGAGGATGTGGAGCGATATCCTGTATTTCTGTAACACGATTGGCAATAAATGGTTTTCAATTATTTGGCAAACCTTTAATCCAAGTAATGGCAATTTCGGAATCACTCCAAAAATAAACATCCTCAATTAAATCGCCAAACAATTTTTTAAAATATTTATACATTCGAGCAGCCACGAGTGCTCCCATTAATTCTAAACGAGGAAGCGTGATTGATCTTAAAGGTGCAACCCTGCATTTCGACATGGTAAAGGAAGTTTTAATTTCTGAATCACTCGTACAGTACCTGAAATATGCGATGGCCCCATATGCTTTAAGACTAGCGTCCGAAAATAGATGAAGGCTTATATTCATTGGATCGCCATCAAAGAAATTTCGCTGTATCAATATTTCAGTTAAATCACCAAGTTCCTCCCGCCAAATGTTGAATTTGTCCTTAATCTCTGCAGGAAGGACCTCATCCCAGTCAGAACCGGAGCACCAAATTTCTTGCATAATAATTTTTGCCCTAATAACTAAGGGTGCTATAAATCCAAAGGGATCGTATATTTGGATGATACTTTGCAAAAGTTTCCTTTTTGTAGCAAAATCATCAATTAAATTTTTTAAATTTAACTTTATATTGTCCCCAATGGAATTCCAAATCATGACTAAGAAATTTGATTCACTAGTTAACTTGTCATCTGATTCCTTAATCCCGTTTAAGACCCATAAATCGTTTAATGCTTTAGAATTAGTTCTTAATTTTCTGAAATTCATCCCAGCATCCTTAAATATGTTAATCGCATCTACAGATAACCGATATGCATCTTCAACCGTTCCAGCTCCAAAATATAGGTCTGTCGACATAGACAGAAGAATTCAACATTTGGAAACTGTCCGGCATTTATCTTTATATTTCCGAATGTGATATTTTATAGTGGTGGCCAAAATGAAAGGAGATAGTTGAACCGAAAGCTACACGACACATTTGCATAATCTTAAAGGAGTCTTTAGTTTCATTAAACCAAAGAAATTTTAGAAATTGTCTATCACCTTCAGCAATTCCTATCATCAAAAAGGCTTTTTCAACGTCTCCACAAAATTCTATCTTAAACTTACGAAAATTTAACATAATGTCTAGTATATTTGGATTTAGATTAGGTCCCAATTCAAGGCAATCATTTAATGAATTCGTGTCCTCTGTCCTTGAGCTAGCATCGTACACAATTCTCACCTTATTAGTTTCACTAGGTCGTATCACTGCTCGGTGCGGCATAAAAATTCCCAAATTTTTATCATTATTCAGACATTCCTCCACAATTCCTTCTAATATCTGGTTCTCAATTATATTTTTATATTCCTGAAAAATCTCCGGAGTTTTACTCAGTTTATTGTGAAGGTTTGCGAATCGTTTCTTAGCTACCTTAAAATTATTTCCTAGATTTTTCGGACTGTATTTCCAGATTAAATTTGCCTCGTATCTTCCGTTTTTAAACTGCAAATTTCTTTCAAACTGGTCTATTATTTCACAGTCAGTATCGGAATAATCATCAGAATCATTTATTCCCATATGCTCTAATTCCCAAAAACCTCTTAAATCTTTCAACACAACAGTGTTTGTCATTACCGCTAAATTTTCAGAACAATTTTTATTTGTTTTATTTTTCTCGATTCCTGCAGCAACCCAACCAAACACAGAACTGACTGCGTACAACCCTTCAGATATTTTAATTCTTTCTGAATAAATTACATTTTCCAGAATTCATCCTCGCCAATTAATACCTCAACATTTATGTTATTTTTCTTGAGCAATCGGCGATCTGCAACCCCAGATGCT